CCTAAGTTTGCCTGGGTCTTGTGCATGCTGATACCATTGCTATAGATTTGTATGAGAAGGGTCCCAGGCACCTGTAGAACTGTTTCCATATGGTCATGTACCTCCTCCCTGGCTTTTACAATCTTTCCGCCCCCTCTTGTGCAATGGTCCCTGAGCCCTTGGTGGGTGGATTTTGATATAGGAGTCCTGTCCAAGGACCCACGCTCTGCAGACTCTTATTCTCTGCATTTTGGTCATTTGTGACCCTTTGCATCTCTGGTCCTCTGTTGCATGAGGGAACTTCATTGATGAGAATTGAAAGATGCATTAGTGTTCTCTTCATCCCTTGTTCTGTGTTCCATGAGTCTTGGGTATAGAGGTTGTATCCTAGATATGCCACTTAGACTTGGCCATTTCACAGACAATCTGTGTGTGACCAGTTGTGGAACTCTGTAATTATCTCTGTCTCTTGGAAAAGAAGCTTCTTTGATGGGTGTTAACTGGAATACTTGTCTATAAATTTAAGGATCCATATTTTGCACATAGTAAGAAATTACATTTGTCTAGGGATGTGACAGCCTTGGGGTTTTTTCTAAGATCTATGATCTCTCCAGCTTTGTATATTTGGCTAGGTTTACAGTACTGCACATGAGTTTCCTCCCACTGAGTGAGCTTTATGTCCAATTAGGTTCCTGTTGATTACCCCCAAGTTAAAAGTGCCACTATTACACCTATGTCGTTTGCTATGCTGGTTATTGATGTGGTTTTTAGGCCTTGAAACTGGGGTTGGATCATCGATTGATGTTCTCCCTTAGCAGCTTTCATAGTGTTCTCCAAAACTATGAGAGCCGCCTTCGGGGAGGTGGCTTCCAGGTCAGTTCCCACTCCATTGCTCCAAATCCTGTGTCCAAAGCATGTCCTGTCTTCAGCAGTAGGGTCTTACCATCAAGTTCTGGGAGGCCATCAAAGGCTGTGGCAATAGCCTGTGTAATTTTGGGAGTCTCTTGGACTACCCTGGCCAACAACTCAAAGGAAGGTTTCTCCTGCCCAGCACTGTTTTTTGTAATGTAGCCTTCAGCTATACTCACAGACTCATGTAGGGATATTGTATGTGTAAGTTTTCAGTAGGTTTTTGGACTAATACAATTCCCTCTGGTTTTTTTATACTAGCTAGGCACTATTTATCTCTCCTCTTTCTCTCCCTGTCTTATCATCCCTCCCTACCCTCCCCATTTAAAGCATCCCAATTTTCCCCATTTCTCCCTGATAATTCCTGTCTGCTGTGGTCCCACCTCTCTTGAGCTCCTTCTTCCCCTTTATTCCCATAGTTCTTTGCGTAGCTCTCCTTCTCTCCTCCCCTTTAACTACCCCTGTTTTACACATGTGTCCCTTAGAACACTTGTCTTCTCACCTGGGTTCCTTCTTTCCCTTTACCTCCCTGGTTGCCTTCCATTTTCCTCTTTCCTGCAGTTACATCAGGATCTGTATAAGGATTTCTAGAAGCTGTTACACTAAGTGAAGTAACACAGACTCAGAAAAACAACAACAAAAACAAATGATGTATGTTCTCCCTCATTCGTGGATCCAAGCCCAAATTTTAAAATATGGCTTTTAGTGGGAAGCTACTCAGTGAGCAAATACTTATGTGCAACCATCAGTCCTGTGAGGCTTCATGTCTAAACCCCAATAGTACAGCTCTTCCTTGTGGAGCTTATAGTCCCACAGAAAAAGTAGGGAAATTTTATCTAACAGTTGACTAAATCATTGCAATTAGGGAGCTGCTGGATGAAAACAAAATGTGGAGTATCATCGCAGTGGGGGGTCATGAAAGGCTTCTAAGGCGCTGAGGTTTGTTATGCACAGGGGCTAACCTGGAATTCTGTTTCCATTGTGGAACACTGTATGCTGTGCCTGAGAACCACAGTAGAATCATCTATGTGTGCTTTCTGTAGCAATACCCCATGTGGATTATAATTCACATCATTGCTCTAGTCAGTTAACTATCTCAATACCATTTCTACCATCAGCGGAACAGTGTGCTTAGCTCAGTAAAATGGAAAAGTCTGACAAACTAGGACATGCTTAGTCCCAGGACTGTGTGGAATAGTCACGGAAGTTCAGCACATCATGGCATCCTTATACAGTGTGGGAATATCTGAAAGGCCACAGGCTCCCTTTCCGATAAGGTTTGTTCTCTAAATAGTCTTTTAGAGAAAGCTCACCTGTTGTCCGTTTTATAATAAAGAATGTCTTAAGAGCTTAGCATCTGCATGACTGACACAAGTAGGAATATTCTTCTGAGTTATTTAATCCCCTGAGATGCTAAACTGCCAGAGGGTGACTCTCAGATCCATTAAACTGAAAAACAGAAGCATTTCACTACACTGAGTTATGAGTGCTTTCATATGGCTGTATTTCAGCCGTCTCCCCATGTTAGAGGATTTGGCCTTCTAATCTGGCACCATCTCCCCCTTGCTCTGGCTGTGGGAATAGAGGTGAGGGTAGGCAAGGCTCTCTGTGTAGTTCTGAGGGTCACATGACCTTGGCTTCCTGTGCATTGAAATGAGAAACTATGATGGGGTCTTAACGATGGCGACCTGGCTCACTGTTGCTCATGCCTCTTGAGACCCGAAGAAGTAGTATTAAGGCTAAGTGTCAGCAAGGGTCTCCTTAAAGTGAATAGAGATAGGCATTCTCTCTCTTGCTCTCTCTCTCTTTCTCTCTCTTGCTCTCTCACTGTTTAAAATTTTGTGGGTTCTTTGTTTTTTTGCTATAGAAGCAAAAGAGCTTAGAGCCAAACACATCCCAATTTAAGTCGTTTTAAAAGATTTTATGAGTAAGCTATCTTTGGTCTATCTTGATTTTATTCATTTACTAAATACATGTAATATTTACTATGTGCTAGGTGCTATTCCGGTGTTACGAATTCCTCCAATTAATAGAAAATCTTCTAAGGGGACCTTATGATGTTGGTGAGCATATTGCCCAGTTTATAGAGGACACTGAAGCACAGGGAGGTGTGGCGATGTCTTCGGCATTCTTCATGCCCAGGTCTCCCTGTGCATCTGTGATTAGAACCTCTGCTCTGTATTGGCCCAGCTTGGTCTGTACTTTCCCTCCACTCTCCGAGTAGTTTATTATTTATTCCTTTATAAAGTTGTCCGTGGAACATAATCTTCAAATTAAAATTAACTGCAGAACTGTGACACTATTTGTGCTGGTTAGTTTTTTTGTCAAACCATCTGGGAAGAGGGAACTGCAATTTTGAAATTATCTCCAGTCAGATTGGCCTGTGGGCATGTCTGTGAGTGGTGCCATCCTTAAGCAGGTGGGCTGGGCTGCATAAGAAAAGTAACTGAGCAAACCAGGAAACAAGCTAGTAAGTAGTATTCTTCCTGGTCCCTGTGTCAGCCTTGGCTCCAGGTTCCTATCTTGAGTTCCTGCCTTGGATTCCCTAGATGACTCATTGTAACCTGTAAATGAAAATAAACCCTTTCCTCCCCAAATTGGTTTTGGTCAGTGTTTCATCACAGCAACAGAGTAGCAAACTAGAACACAACTTAAATGCCTTTTCTGCCTGTGACCCCACTCTGGGATGTGTGTACAGAGTCTTTGGAACAGTAAGCATGAATTTGCATTCTATATCCACTCATTTTACCTATTTTCCTTTTTGGCAAGGACACACACATTAAGTCTGACTAGATAAAAGACACCTTGCTTGTCTGTGCTGCTGAGTACGACCTAGAAGATGATAATATTGCTAACAGCAATACTGTGTTATGGAACACTTTTAATTTCCCACTGACTTAAATTGCATGAGAGCAACTGTCTGCATTCATTTGAGTTATCTGTGCTAGGAAACAAAATGTACAGTTTATCAATGCCCTAGAAAGCCCTAAAATGCAAAGAAGCTCTGAAGTGTTGAAAGTGGAAGCATGACTTTCTAGAAAGACCAGTGTGGAGATGGCAGCCAGGAAGGGCCAGGGGGCTGTGGATGGCCTGGGGTGGGTTTGCTGACTGCCCAAGCAGCTGTGTACGCTTGCGAAGAAAGGCCATCTTGCTGCTGGCTCCCTACTTTGAGAACACTTACTTTACCCTCACAGGAAGCTCAAAGCATTCCTGTGTCCCCCCCACCGCCCCCCAGTTGCTGAGCTATCTCAGCTTTCTCTTTATGGATTCGCCTATTCTGCAAATTTCTGTACGGTTCATCGAAATGCAATCCTGAGCTCTGTGGTCTTTGTGACTGGCTTCTTTCACTTAAAATAATGTCAAGGTTTATCTGTACTGTAGCCCGTGCCAATACACCATTCCTTTTTATTGCCAAATAGTAGTTTAGTGTGTGGATATTCCACATTTACATATTTATCAATTGGTGAACATTCGGGTTGTTTGGTTACTATTATGAATAATACTATGAATACGCCTATACAAGCTTTTGTATGTATGTTTGTATTTTTCTTCGGTAAATGCCAAATAAGTGACAAATTCATTTCCAAAAGCTGCTTTTTGCATATGTGAATGTGTGTTGTATGTACATGTGTGCATGCAGGCCAGAGGTTGGTGTCACGTGTCTTCCTTGATGGTTCTCCATCTTATGTGGAAGTCTCTTTCTTGAACCCAGAGCTTGCCAGTTTGACTAGTCTTGCTTTCTCTGGTGATCCCATCTCTACTTCCTGAGGGCTGGGATTCTGGGCCGGCTGCCATGCCCAGCCAATGTTCATGTGGGTACTGGGGATCCAAACTCTTGTCTTAATGCTTTCATGGTAAGCACTTAACCCACTGAGCCATCTCCCTCTTCCCTCCAGCATCTTTGGTTTTTGTTTTGTTTTAGTTGTTGTTTTGGTCTTTTTGAGACAGTCTCCCTGTAGCCCCAGCTATCCTGGAACTCACTATGTAGACCAGGCTGGCCTTGAACTCACAGAGATCCACCTGCTTTTGCCTCCTCAGTGCTGGGACTAAAGGCATGTGCCACCACACCTGGCCTCCAGCATCATTCTTAACCTGATTTTCCCCCCTTTTAGAGCCGCATCCTCTGGACCTGCACCACTGTTCTCAGAAGGGATCTGAGAGGACACAGAGTATTGCCTATTGCCAGGACCAAGGTGGGATTTCCTGTGCAGCCTTCTGCAAATGGTAGGTTTGGTGCTTTCTGGTGCTCTGTCACCAGCATGTCCTGCTTCAGCTGAGGTTAATTTCCACCAGTTCCCTGAAACTTTCCAGTTAGATACTGCACAGGTACCTTAATTCAGGAAGCTCTTATTTTACCCTCAATGGAATCTGACTGTTCAGCTCTTTCAGGTAAGTGGCTATTCCCTCACTCACTGATGTTTTAAATGACAATGAGGGACATAGCAGATAACACCCAGTAACTTTGAGTTACTATTTGTTTTAATTTGCTTTCTATTGCTGTGATAAACACCCCCCCCTCCCCAACTAAAAGCAAGTGGAGGAGGAAAGGGTTGATTTCGGCTTACAGTTCCATCATTAAGGGAAGCCAGAGCAGGAACTAAAGCAGAAACCTGGAGGCAGGAACTGAAGCAGAGACCATGGAGGAACACTGCTTGCTAGCTTGCTTCTCAGACCTGCTCATCTACTTTTCTTATACAGCCCAGCCCACCTGCCTAAGGATGGCACTGCCCGCAGTGGGCTGAGCCCTCCCACATCAATCAGCAATTAAGAAAATGCCTCACAGACACAACTACAGCCAATCCAATGGAAGCATTTCCTCAGCTGAGGTTGCCCCTTTCCAGGTAACTCTAGTTTGTGTCAGGTTGAAGAAACTAACCAGCACACTACTGTAAGGATATGCTGAGTTTTCTGCCCCGGCTGAGCATTATGAACGGCTTGTGGCACAAAACCCCTCTAACATACACGAGCCAGCTCTACCCGGGTATAGCACAGAGACAGTGTGAACCTCAGGCCTCTGCCTAGACTCCTGAAATTAAGAATAATTTTAGTCTTGAAAGTAAAAGTAACAGTTGCATCTTCAGCACAGAAAACTTTGTTTCCTCCTTGTAGCTTTGGGACACATTATGCTTGGGGCTCATTTGACCCCTCTGGGAGCCATTCTTTTTTTGCTTTTGGTCTTTTTGAGACAGGGTCTCCCTGTAACCTCAGCTGGCCTGGAGCTCACTATGTAGAACAGGCTGGCCTTGAATTCACAGATACCTACCTGGCTCTGCCTCCCCAGTGCTAGAATTAAAGGCGTTCGCCACCATCCCAGCAGGAGCCATTCATTATCACTACTAATGTGTAGTGTTGGCCTAGAAAGGCTTCAGCCTTCACTGGACCATGTAACTAAAGGTAGCTTTTAAAAAATGTATAATTTTAAAATGTGATTTTTGGGGGCTGGAGAAGATAGCTCAGCAGTTAAGAACACTGGTTGTTCTTGCAGAAGACCTGGGTTTGAATCCTAGCACCCATATGACAGCTAATGACTGTCTGTAACTCCAGTCCCAGGGGATCCTACAGCCTCTTTTGATCTTCATGGGCATTGCACGACACTGGTGCACTTACCTACATGCAGGCAATACACGCATACACACAAAATTAAAAAAAAATTTTTAAATATATGAACAGCTAAGGTTCTTTGTCCTATACAACACTCTGTAGGCTTGTCTTCTCTAAAATTCAAAATAATTCTGAAATTCAGAATAGTTCTCGGAATGCTGCTAAGCTGAGAATGCCCCTTCTACTGGGCTGATACTAGGAATGGCAAGTATTTCTAAATACTGGACACCGATGCTGTGTCTCCCTTTGTATGCTAGTGTCTGCCCTATAGAAACTGGATGAAGAAAAGACTCCATTTACTCAGTGGACACTTACTGAACAAGTTCTGTGTGCCAGGCGTTCTTTTCAGTGTTCAAATAAGACTGCAAACAAAACAGAACCCCTACTTCCATGGAGCTTTCAAAAATGCCCCATGTAATCTCCATAAACAGCTGGGGACAGGGAGCGGGCCACAGAGAACTGGGCACTGCCGAGCTGTCCTGGGAAACACCCCTTCAGCATGGCAGGTAAATGAAGTGGAGAAGGCAGGAGCTGGAATCTGCTTTGGAAAATAATGCAGTCTTGTGCTGTGGACAATTGCAGACTTTTGGAAATTTACCAAAACAAGCAAAAATGAAGTGCTGGGTTAATAAAACTTGAGCTTGAAAGAGAAAGGATTCCTTTTCAAGTACACTATGTTTTATTCATTTCTGTTGTGGGGAGGGGGTTCTTTTTGAGACAGGATCTCCCTGTAGCCCCAGATGGCCTGGCACTTGCTATGTAGACCAGGCTGGCCTCAATCTCACAGAGATCTGCTTGCCTCTGCCTCCTGAAAGCTAGCACTAAAGGCTTGTATCACCACGACTGGCTTTTATTAATTTCTTTTCAAATACTCAGAATTAGCCTAAATTTTGCCTCTGCCACATACCCCTCCCCCCGGCTTCCGTTGTCAATGTCGAAAGTATCCTTTCAGAATTCCTTTATGCACAGCTAAGCAAATGAATTTACATTCACCTCCTTCATGATGTAATAAATGTGCAGTGTGGATACTATATTCTTTGCAATGCCTATCTTCCAACTATATGTAGGGAAGTTTTACAAATCAGAGCTTCCTCTTATAAAAACAGTCACAGAGTTATCCATTGTACAGTTATACCACAGTGTAAATAGTGACCCATTGATGAACATCTGGGTTGTAGCCAGCAGACACTAAACAAGGCTGGGATAAAAGCTGCACGTTACTTTCCATGTATGCAATTATATCTATATAAACTTGCAAAGATGTGTGTAGTGTGACAGGCATCTTTAATTGTCCTGCTGGGTGAGGGGGTGTGCTGATGTCCCTATTAGAAACTTGTGAGAGTACCTGTTATCAGGGTCTGATTAAATGATTTCTCAGACTTTCTTCAATTTATTAATACTATTTATTCAGATTTTTCATCATTTAAAAAGAAAATGCTTGGAGAAGGAAATAAGACCTGAGCTTCTTAAAATCATGTGTTGCTAGAGGGTCATTTTTAAAAATTGTTTTTATTGAATTTTTGTGTATTTCATACAGAACATCTTAAACATTCTTAGTCATCTTTATACCCCCATCCCTACTGGCACCCTCCCATAGCCCCCACTGGAACCCATATACACTGTCATCCCTGTTAAGGCCTGCTGTGTCAAGTCAGTGTCCCCAGACATTCCCCAGTGCAAGTCCATCCACTGAGTCTAGTCAGCCTATCTAGAGTCCCTTGTTTTAGGAAGGTCAGCTCTTCTTCATCTGGCAGCGATCAGTTGCCAATATTTCTTCAGATAAGATTGGGGTCTGCTGTGCATTTTCCCAGCTTCATTAATGAAGCTCCCTCATGCAGTGGAGGGCCAGGAACACAAAAGGTCACAAATGGCCAAAGCATAGAGATCAAGAGTCTGCTGCTGAATGCTGGTCCTTTGACAGGACTCCTGTATTAAACTTCACCCACCCAAGGTTCAGGGACCATCAAGGAAGAGGGGGCAGGAAGACTGTCAGAGCCAGGGAGGAGGTGCGTGACCTCCTGTATGACCTCTATGGAAACAGAGTCCTAGAAGTTCCTGGGACCCTGCTCATATGATTCTATGGCAACGGTGTCAGCATACACAAGTCCCATGCAAACTCAGGCAGAGGGTCATTTTAAAAAATATTTTATTTATTATTTTTTAATTTTATGTGAATGAGTGTATTGCCTGCATGTGTTCAAGTGTACCCATGATGTGCAGTGCCCACGTAGCTCAGAAGAAGGTGTCGAATTCCCCTGAAACTGTAGTTATGGTAGACTTTTAGTTGCCATGTGGGTTCTGGGAATCGAACCTAGGTCCTCTGCAAAAGCAGTCAGTGCTTGCAAAAGCAGTCAGAGATGCTGAGCCATCTCTCCAGCCCCATCATTTTTTAAAGGGCCCACCAATAGCCATTTTAGATTTTTCCTTTAAAAATGTTTTCTATTCTTTGATGGTTTCATATGCGTCTATGATGAGTGAACCTTGGTCATTTCCACACCCCACATCATGCGTTCTCACCCCCCTCGCACTCCCATGGAACCCGCTTCCCAGTGAATCCATTTCCTACATTTGTGTCTTTCATTTGTCCTCTTTTTTAATGTATATTTTTATTGAATTTTTGTGGATTTCATACAACACATTTTAATGTGTTGATTTAGATCTCCCCTATCTGCACCCTCACACCCTGCCCACAGGATTCCACGAATTCTGTCTTATGTGTTAAAGCCTATCGTGTCCCATTTGTTTTCTGTTTTATGACCTACTGCATTTGATTAGGGTTGCTCCAATGAGCATGGGTGGGAGACTATTATTGGATCACGGACAAATTACTAGTGGCTACACCACTGAAGGAAATGACTTCTCCTCCCCCAGCAACCATTAACTGCCAATAAGCTCCTCTTTTTTTTTAAAATTTATTTTTATTTTTATTTGTGTGTGTGTGTGTGTGTGTGTGTGTGTGTGTCTGTCTGTCTGTCTGTCTGTCTGTCTGTCTGTGAACGTGTGTGCAGATGCCTGTAGAGACCAGAAGAGGGTGTCAGATCCCTTGGAACTGCTGTTATAGGTAGTTGTGAGCTGTCTAACATGGGTGCTGGAAACCCAAAGTGGATCCTCTGCAAGGGTAGCAAGTGTTCTTAACTGCTTGGTCATCTCTCCAGCCCTGTTTTGGTTTTGTTTTTCTACTTATTTTTATTTCATGTGCATGTTTACTGTGCCTACGTGCGGTAGATCCCCTGAAACTGGAGTTATAGATGGTTGTTAGCCACCTTGTTGGTGCTGGGAATAGAGCCCGGGTCCTCTGCAAGAGCAGCCCATGCTCTTAACTACTGAGCTATCTCTCCAGCCCCACTCTTTTTTGTATTTGGTTTTGTTCTGTTTTGATTCAGAGTCTCACTAAGTATGCACGCCATGCTATGTAGTGCAGGGTGGCCTTTCTCTGCTGGGTTTATAGGAGAGCACCACAGTGCCCAGATCTAAGGTGTTATACTTTAAATTCTTTAAATCTACAAGATAAAAGTGCTTCCCAGATGCACAGTGGACTTAAGTGACCTACTAAGAGTAAGAATTTTGTTCCCAAACTCTGTCCTTTATTGCAGCTAATTGAAATAAGTTGATGTACAAAACTGAGCTGGCACAAAGGACCAGAGACTCCTATCTGTAGAAAGTCCTGCTTCTGAGGTGGGTCCTTCCCCTGACAACTTGGAACTTACACTTGGGGAAGGTCCCCACCACCCCCTGATGGGAGTGGTTCACTGTCCCTACATTATTTGTACAAAGAGTAAGGTTTATATTGAGCACCTGCTTCCCTGATGGGAGTGTGGGACTGTTTGTGTCTGGCAGAGTGTGTAAGTGACCAGCTTGAATGAAAACCTTAGGCAGTGACTCTAACAAGATGCCCTGGTCTACAGCATTTCTTACCTTCAGTGTTGCTGTTGCTAAAGAATCAATGAGTCCACTTGGATGGGACCCAAGGGTCCATTTTCCTGTGCTGACTTTCCTTTGTATCCTTTTGATATGGTCAGTCATATGTATAAAGCTTACCAAGCACTGAATTCTCGGAGGCCTTCCAGTGAGTCTCTGAACTGAGGGTGTTCATGAGTGCTCAGGACAGTCAGTATGACTAAGATATTAATATTCTATCCACTGTATCACTGGTGAATGAAACAAATAGTCTAACACATAACTTATTTACTTTGCACACCAGACCTTGACTTTTCAGTCTGTGGCTTATTATAAAACATGTAGTCTTTTGGATTTCTGAATAGTGATTTAGCACTTACACCTGAGAAACCGAAGAGCAAGACAGCTGCCCAGGTGTCGCATGGCGTTAGCTTAGTGTAAAGCCTCACAACCGGCTCTTTGGCTTCTCAGTGTTTCTCTTTAAGCTTAAAACCTTCTTGCTTCAGTTTTCTATCATTTGATTGTTAAACAGATTTACTCAAGTCCTTCTGTATTGCTAGCCTTAGAATTTTAGTTAAACAATCTGATTTCCTAGTTATGCTTTGATTCCGAAGCTTATCTGCTGATAAAATCTGTCTTATAAAATTCACATTAGGGGCATATTACGGCCCACTGGATCTGGTGCATACCTATTTGCAGAGCCCAAAGCCTGAAATAAAACTATTATATAATCATGTTGCATTAGCATCCTGTTTAGCATTTTTAAATATTCAAATAGGAATTTGGTAAATGTGTCACTGATTTATTTGTTTAAAGTGCTGCTCCTAAAGGAATTAAGATGGCTTCTAAAGAGTTTATTTTAATTAATTTTTTTTCAGTTTTTTCATTCATTTTTATTGTATGCTAAAATTATTTTTACTTTTTGGCATGGCTGCTTAAAATATACAGGTACATATTTAGAAATGTGAACATTTTGTTGACATATTAAAAGACCTGATAAATATATACTGCCTTATAAACTTGGATTCTCTAAACAGCTTAAAATCTATTGAAATGATATATTTAAATCTATTAAGTGCTTCTTAAAACCTTAAAATTTTAATTGTTTATATAAAACAACATTCATTAGAGTCATAGGATAAATATTCCACTAAGCTATAGAATTCAATGTTATATAAACATTGATTTTGGTGGGAATTTCTTTCCATAACAGGCGCTAAATAAATATATGTATTGATTAAAATTTTATTTAATTTATATAATAGTAATAGTCATGGGTGATTTCTTTTACAAATATTCTTTTTTTTTTTAAGGAATATTTTTATTATTCCAAGGAGAGGCAATTTTTAACACATTTTTCCAGAAATAACTTGAAGCAGGTTACATAAAATATATATATATTATATATATATATATATATATATACACACACACACACACACACAC